TAGTTGTATGTCATAGCTGCACATCCTTCTAGTTGCTGTATGTGGGACGCGGCCTCAGCATGGCCAGAGAAGCGGTGCGTCGGTGCGCGCCCGGGTTCCGAACCCGGGCGGCCAGCAAGCAGAGCGCGCGCACTTAACCGCTAAGCCACGGGGCCCGCCCTCCAGGAAAGTTTAGAATTGAACATAGAGGTAGTAGAATAAATCAAACTCATTGTATTAATGTTCTTGTCCTAAGTTTAGTAATAATCAGTGTGTACTTGGTATTTGAAAGTATCTGTAACATTGAAAAGAATTTGATATGTTGAATATATAACAGAAAAGCATTGTGATTTCAAGTTAAAATCTATAGTTACGTAATTGATAAAATATATGTCAGTAATTGATACTAGATTTGTGATTTTAAGTCGAGAGGTTAGCAATGGTTGGAAACCCTGGCTGCATATTAGAATCACCCGGGGTGCTGTAAAAGCTACTAAGGGTGCCCCCCATATCCTAATTCCATGTCAGAGATGGAGCCTGTATTTTTTTTTTTCAGCTCCCCAGACTGTGAACAGCTGACATAAGAGAATTTGACTACGACTGTTAAAAGTACTGAACCGTTGGGCCAGCCCTGATGGCCTCGCAGTTAAAGTTAGGCAGCCTCCGCTTTGGCACCCTGGGTTCAGTTCCCGAGCATGGAATCACACCACTCACCTGTCAGTAGCCATGCTGTGGCCACGGCTTACATAGAAGAACTACAAGGACCTATAACTAGAATATACAACTATGTACTGGGGCTTTGGAGAGGGGAAAAAAAAAGTATTGAACTGTTTACAAGAACTTGAAATTCATTATGTTTATAAGTTTAATTTATTAGATTTTCTAGCAACTTTAAGTATTCTGGGGAAATTATGCTTGTTAGGTTATGTATCTTAAGTACTTAAAAAGAAAATCACATATATTAAATTTATAAGTGGAGTCAAATGTGTAAGGGAATGTAATTAAGCTGGTAATAGGGTTGAATGTTTAAAGAACTTTAGTTTGTTCAACTTGAGTTCAAACATTAATCAAGAGAAAAGTTACAATTATTTTTCTTTTTTTTCTAGATTTATGTATAGAATAATTTCTAAGTTGAAATCAGTGGCTTAAAGAAAATTAGGTTTTTAACAATTGTTGCTCCAAAATGAGAACTAAAAAACCAAAAAACACCCCAAATAAAACAAGCCACACCTTCACTCCCTGTGGTCTTCCCTACCCATCCCACCTAAAATAATTCCTCCCTCCTCAGAACTTCCCATCAGCCAGATTTGCTGTTGGTCCCATGGGCTAGTGGTTAAGTTTGGTGCATTCCACTTCAGCGGCCCGGGTTTGGTTCCCAGGCACAGATCTACAACACTCATTGGCAGCCATGCTGTGGCAGTGATCCCCATACAAACTAGAGGAAGACTGGCAACAGATGTTAGCTCAGGGCAAATCTTCCTCACAAAAAAAAACAAAAAAAAAAGATTCCCAGCAACTTCATAACTTTCTGCCCCAAGGGGCTACCAGGATGCTTTGCAAATAGAAAATAACCCCAGAAGGGATAACTCATCATGGAGGTAGAGCATCACATTTTTCCTCCCAGACCCCTAATCAGGCATTACTGTTGCTTTGAGGAGTCAGAGGCAGATCCAGGCCTTTAATCCAGTTCCTGGTTTTCAATGCCACACCTATGCTGATAGCTTTTATCTCTGGCTCAGACCTCTCCTCTGGACTCCAGATCCAAATCTCCATTTGCCTCAGACATCTCCACTTGATGTCTAAGGGACAGGGCCAAACAGAACTTAAGATCATCCCCATCGACCTTAAGTTGTTGAGGTCAAAACTTAGATGGCCAAACAGAACTTAAGATCATCCCCATTGACCTTAAGTTGTTGAGGTCAAAACTTAGATGTCGGGCCGGCTCTGTGGCTTAGCGGTTAAGTGCGCGCGCTCTGATGCTGGCGGCCCGGGTTCGGATCCCGGGAGCACCCGGAGGCACCACTTCTCCGTCCAACGCGAGGCCGAGTCCCGCGTACAGCAACTAGAAGGATGTGAACCTATGACATACAACTATCTACTGGGGCTTTGGGGGGAAAAAGCTGAATAAATAAAATCTTTAAAAAAAAAAAAAAAACTTAGATGTCATCCTCGACTCCTCTTCCCTGCACACTCTACATGCATCTGTCAGCTTGTTCTGTTTGTCCTACCTCCCAAAATACATCCCAAATCTGATCACTACTCTAATCCACACCCTAAATTACCACCCAGCCTCAAATGACCCACCACAATAATTTCCCCTCTTCAGTCGTTTCTCCAGAGAGCAGCCAGAATGATGACATTAACATGTAAATTAGATCATGTCATATCCCTGCTTAAAACCCTTCAGTGGTTTCCTAGTGCAATTAGAAAAAAATAAGACTCCTTACCCCGGGGTTACAAGGCCAGATATGAGCTGACCCAAGCCCACCTCTTCACAGCCCACTTCTTTCCCTCAGACACCTCAAGACTGCAGCAGCCTCAAGGCCTTAGCACCAACGCTTTCCTATTTGACCCGCTAGTATTCATTCAGGTCTCTGGTTAAGTGTCCCCCTGGGCACCCTAGCTAAAACAGCACCATCACCACCCCCCAACCAACCTGTCTTCTGCTCTTCAAAGCATTACTTGTTTGAGGTTACTGCACCTCCCCATCCACCCACACACTACAATGAACACTCCTTGAGAGCAGAGACTTGTCTACCGGTGAGCGCATGAACCAGAGGAGGCGCTCAGAAAACATTTGTTGCCCGGCCCTTGTTCTTTCTATTCCCAAGTCTCCCGCCTTCCAGGCCAGGGTTCTCCGCAGCGAAGCCCAGGGGTGAGGGGAACAGGAAGCACGAGCAGAAAAGCTCCTTCCCCTGAGGCCTGGCTAAGGGGTTCAGCACCCAGGACCCGACTTTTGTCACAGTCTCCAACTCCAGGCCTGGATTTGGGGCTGAAAAAGAAGACAGGCGGAGAGACGAGCCGGGAACTCAGGACCCCAGGTCCCCCGGCTCCTCTGTCCACTCTCCATCCCGTTAAACGGTGAGGCCTGCCGGGAGGCGCGCAGACTCAAAGAAAGAGCCCAAGTCCTCCCGGTGTGGGAGTGAGGAAGAGCAAGGACTGGCCCCTCCACGTCCCGCCAAAGAAGGAGGTACTGTACCTGGCTCTGCTGGGCCCGACAGTTCTGAGCTCCTCCTCCTGCGCCCTCGCGTCGCGCACTGCTTGCTGGGAATCGTAGTCCTTCCTTGGGTATCAGTCCACCCTTCCCAGAAACCTTTGGGAATAAAAGCTGAGACAGCACGGAGGAGGGGGACGAAGCGCGAGGGCTTCTGGGTGTTGTAGTTCAAAATATTCAATCAGCGAGAAATGATTCAAGATAAAAATTGGGTAATAAATCTTACCAAATTATTTAGGCTGCCCTGATATGAATCTATGAGACTTTTCTACTGCGCAAGCCATCAGTTTCCTCCGTCCTTCAAAACGACCAGCACTGAGATTCAGAAGAACTACAAATCCCATAAAGTGCTGCACGTCGAGGGCCTTTAGAGAGCATGGTCGGCCGCGGCGCAGGCGCGGTGGCGCGAGTTCGGCAGTGGAAAAACATGGCGGCCCCGACGCTTACTGCGAGGTTGTATTCCCTGCTGTTTCGCAAGACCTCCACCTTCGCCCTGACCATCGCCGTGGGCGCCGTGTTCTTCGAGCGCGCCTTCGATCAAGGCGCGGACGCGATCTACGAACACATGAACCAGGGGGTGAGAGCCTTGGTCATCCCTGACCTTGGGCCCGCCTGAGGGGTGACAGTGGGAGTGGAGGCGGGGCGGAACTCAGTCTACCTTTGCGAGGAGGAGGGTAAAGCCTGGGCATCTTCTGTCTGTGGACTACCGTCTGACCTCTCTGCCCGGTGTGAATGCTAAAACATTAAGCAAGGTCAATAGATCCCACTTTGCGGGGGTTGTAAGTATAGCTGTCTCCCGCTCCACATACCCACTTGTCTATTTGCGTAAGCGAAAACTAAAGCGTAGTGAGGGCAAAGGGCTTCTTAGGACCACACCACCAGGAAGTCAGTGGCAAGTCAGGGCTGGAGCCTGGACCCCCTGTCTCTTCTGAGGGTTTCAAGGGCAGATTTGAGCGGGCGACGATCGTGAAAAGGACATCTCCTTAAACACCATGGTTGGCCTTTTCAGATAGCGCTTTTCGGTTTCCAAGACTTCCAGTGCAGGCAGCGTGGTATTGATAATGGTTAAGAATGAGGGCGAGGATATGAAATCAGAGAGCCCTGGATGGGAATACTGGGCTTTGTCACCTTATAACTGTGGCATCAAGTCGAGCGAGTTTCTTAACCTCTCTGAGCTTCACTTTTATCTGTGAAATAGAGATAATAATAATAATAACTACCTCCGGGAATTATAGTGAGGATTATATGAGATACAGGCAAGGTGCCAGAGTACCTGGTAGGTGGTACCACTCGAAAAATAACATTTGTTGCATTCTTCTGGAGAAAGTGGAAGCATAAGATAGGGAATGATAACACTCATTAGGCTCATTGTGTGCCAGCACTGTGCTAGATGCTGTGCATGCTTTATATCATTAAATTGTGACTCATACTGGGGAAGATCCTGTATAGATAGCCCTGTTCCACCATTCACTGGTGTTTTTAATTTGAAGCTGTCCGACTCTAGAGCTGTTTTACTTTACAGACAGGCTCTGTCCACTAATGGTGTACTACCTGTGGCAGGGCAACTTTCTGCCTCTGTGAAACTGCTGCCACTGTTCCATTTCCTGCAAGGGATTCCGTTGGCCATTCCCACTGTTTGGGAGTGGCATCTAAGTACCTGTCATAACCCACCCATTTTCTGTGTGTCTCTACCTCAATTTTCTGTAAAAATAAGATCATCCCTTCCCACTTAATTCATGTGGTAATTGAGAGATCAAAGCATTTTACAAGTGTTAGGAATGTGCGTTAAGCCTAGTGTTGCTTCCAGTTTGCCTACGACTACTGTCAGGACGTGGTACATGTTTCTCTCAAGCTTGGCTTAGAGTCCAGGGCAGTGGGAGTAGTTGTAAAATGTGAGAGGAGAGACTAAGTTTGTGGCTCTTGTCTTCAAAATGCAGAAGCTGTGGAAACACATCAAGCACAAGTATGAGAACAAGGAATAGTTCCTCGGAGGTCCCCATCCAGGCCAGAAGGACCAGGTCCACCCGCCAAGTGTTGGCCCAGAGCCAGGGCCTCAGCTTGAAGATGATGCTCACGTTACTCTCTATGGACCACCTTTAGATGTTGGCAAGAGATGACTTCAGCTGACACACTCTTTAACTTCTGCTATGTTTGAAGTATGTTTAGTCAGAGTCATCAGCAAATAAATGTAAATTCTCCTTGATACCTGCCTCTGTATTGGGTGCTTTGTTCACTGTACCTGATCTTCACTTGTCAGTTATTTGAGACCACTCCAGAGTCCTCTGAAAACATCTGAAGGGCAGATTCCATTGTTTTAGGTTTCCCATTAACTTGCAAAGAATTCTGGTTTTCAAAACATGAGCTAGAGGGCCGGCCCCATGGCTTAGCGGTTAAGTGCGTGCGCTCCGCTGCTGGCGGCCCGGGTTCGGATCCTGGGCGCGCACTGACGCACTGCTTCTCCGACCATGCTGAGGCCGCGTCCCACATGCAGCAACTAGAAGGATGTGCAGCTATGACATACAACTATCTACTGGGGCTTAGGGGGGAAAAAACAAATAAATAAATCTTTAAAAAACATGAGCTAGAGTTGGAGATGTTACCTTCAACTTTGGCTTCTAAACTGATAATTCCATTCTTAAATCACACAGAAGGAGCTAACTGGCTTGGCCATGGGGAAGCACTGTGGCCTCAGCTGGGGAAAGAACCCTGGCCTGAGGATCTTGGACCACCCCATGCACCAGAGTCTAGTCTCCATTCTACCTTTAACTTGCTGAGTGTCTTTGGGTAAGCTGCCATACCTCTCTGGGCCACAGCTCATCTTCTGATTATGATTAAGTTGGACCAGAACTCTGAGCCTCTTGCTAGAGTTCTGCTCTCTAATGGGTTTGGTTTATCATGGTGCTTGCTTGGTGGGTTTGAATATCCTCACTCTACCAGTTCTAGCTGTGTGAACCAAGGGTGAGGCACCTGACCTTGCTGAGCTTTGGTTTCCTGGTCTGTAAAAATAGATGGACTTTCTGTGTGGGGTTTTTGTGGGTATTAAAGGAGTTGTTAAATGCAGGTAACACAGTCACAGATCCAGGCACGTTGTAAATGGCACATGGAGGTAACTCTTGGCAGAGAGACGGGGGGATGCTTAAGCACCCAAAGAACCAGAAAATTTTGCCAGAAGGCTGTGGAGCAGTAGGAATGTGAGGAAGAGGGGTTCAAAGAACATATTCTGGTTATTCATTCAACAGACGTATGGGTGGCCACTATGTGAGGCACTGTGCTGGGTGCTGGGCATGTGGTGGTAAACATAACATGGGGCTTGAACTCCTATGGGAGACGCTGTAAATGCAATCATACATACACGTGAGAGACTGGGCTAAGGGTTCTGAGGAAGTAGTGCAAGGAGAGAAATAACCAAGGGTGAGAGAGTAGTCAAGGGAAGCCTCAGAAGAGGTAACTGGTGATAAAGGTGAGCCACTTAAGTTGGGCATTGGAGGCAAAGCAGAGGAAATAGCAGGTTTGAAGTACAAAGTCGGGGAAGCACTTGCTGTGTTTGAGGAGCTAAAAGGCCCAGGAAACTGAGGGGCCTTGAAGGTGGGAAGTAAATGAGACCAGGTCATTTGGGACCTGGTGAGTCACAGTAAATAATTTGAATTTTACCAAATTATAATGAGTAGCTACTGAAAAATTCTTAAGCAAGGGAGCAACAAGCTCTGTCTTGTTATAAAAACATCATTTTGGGGGCCAGCCCCATGGCCTAGTGGTTAAATTCAGCACACTCTGCTTTGGCAGCCCAGGTTCAGTTCCCAGGTGTGGACCTATGTCACTCATCAGCAGCCATGCTGTGGTGGCGACCCACATACAAAATAGAGGAAGATTGGCACAGATAGCTCAGAAAACATTTTGGCAGCTCTGGAGTGATGAGATTAGAGGCAGGCAGGAGTAGAAACAGAGAATAGCTTAAAGGCTGATGTCGCTCTCCTTATTAGAGCTGATGGCTGTAAGGGACCTTGGAAAATGTGCCACATGGCTAGGAGTGGCAGAGGAGAGCAGTGGGAAGTGCTGAGCAGGTATAGAGCGGCTCCATTTTGTAAGTGGCCTGGGAAGATAGGTGACACCCATCTGCCGTATTTCACCTAGAGCCTGGCGTGATTCAGCCAGAGCTGGATCATCCACTAACAACTGATGGGGAAAAAGTCAGGACAGGAAACCTGTGCAGAGGAAGGAGAGACCCTGGGAATTGCCCAGTGTGTCCTACCTGAGGCATATCTTTATGAAGACTAAGTCAAGGCCTAGAGAAATTATGACCTGCCAAAAGCAGTACAGCTCTAGGGGTCAAATCAACACCTGAACCGAAGTAGAGACTATTCTAAGACTTGAAAGAATGATTTCAGCATCAAACAGAGGATAACCCTGGGGTTGAAGATTGGCACTGACATTACACTTTTCCCAACAATTTCAGGTCAATGTGCTGGTAAAAAATAAAGCAGGGAACATTCTCACAGTTATTCTATGTTATTCTACAGTCCCTGATGATGAGTTCAGGGCAGCAGGGTCGGAATGGGCTTAGTTGATCATCTGCCTCGGGTGGCGCACATTCTGACTCAGCCCAACCAGCAAGCAAGCGTATCCATAAGCCAGTCTATAGTTAAGATGCCCCATTATTTGTCATCAACCTTTCTGGACTATTGTGGTTGTGTGTGTGTGTGTGTGTGTGTGTGTGTTTCCTTTCAATAAGAGCTGAAGGTTAAAATAATAATAAACCCTGTTTTACCTATTCTATGGGGTTAAATTTTGGGGGGTTTGTCCCCCCCAAAATTCGTGTCCACCTGGAACCTCACAATATGACCTTATTTGGAAATACGGTCTTTGCAGATGTAATAAGTTAAGATGAGATTATACTGGATTGAGGTGGGTCCTGAATCCAATAACTGGTGTCCTGTTAAGAAGGCCATATGAAGACAGAGACAGAGATTGAAGTTATGCTGTCACAGGTCAAAGAATGCCAAAGATTGCCAGCAACCACTAGAAGCAAGGAAAAACACAAGGAAGGATTCTTTTCTAAAGGCTTCAGAGAGAGTGTGGCCCTACTGAAACCTTGATTTTAGAGTTCTAGCCTCCAGCACTTTGAGAGAATAGATTTCTGTTGTTTTCAGCCACTCAATTTGTGGTAATCTGTTATGGCAGCCCTAGCAAACTAATTGGCCAAGCTAAAGAATGATATTACCTAATCTTGTTGAGGATAGGAACAAATGGCACTCATCTGCTATTGGCAAGAGTGTGTGAAGTGCATCTTCAAGCACCATGTCCCTGGAGGATGTTTTGTACATATGTATTAAGACCCTTAATGTGCATGCCTTTGACTCAATAAATCCCGCTTCTGGCAAATTTTCCTGAAAAAATGCACATGTCCACAAGAGATGTTCATCACAGTGTTTATAATAGGGGGGAAATGAAAACAAGTAAAATATCCAAAATAGGGATTACTATTGAGGTGAAGTATTATTCAGTCATTTAATATCATGTGTTTTATTAAAAAATTGTTTTATTGAAGTCATATTGGCTTATGACATTGTGTAAATTTCAGGTGTACATTATTATATGTCAGTTTCTGTATAGACTGCATCTTGTTCAGCACCAATAGTCTAGTTTTTATCTGTCACCATACATATGTGTCCCTTTACCCCTTTTGCCCTCCCCAACCCCCTAAAATCATGTTTTAAGTGGGAGAAAATATCCAACAAATATGGCAAGGTACCAACCTCACTAATCTATGAAGCAGTCTTCCAAATCAAAAAGAAAAGGATGAATAACTCAATAGAAGCTAGGGCAAATGACATGAATAGGCAATTAAGACAAGAAATACAAATGGCCACAAATGTGAAAAGATGCCAGTCTCACTAATAAAGAAACAAAATAAAATGCCATTTTTTGCACATCAGATCAACAAAGATGAAAAAGATTAGCAACACCAGTTTTTTGGTGAAGGAGCAGGTACTACCCATGGCATTAGAACAATGGTTTTGGAGGGCACTTTGGCAATATCTATTTTAAATGTTCATTCCTTTTTTTAAATTGTATTATAATACACGTAACATAAAATTTACCATCTTATGTTAGCTCAGAGCCGGTCTTCCTCAGCAAAAAGAGGATTAGCACGGATCTTAGCTCAGGGCTGATCTTCCTCACAAAAATAAATAAATAAATAAAATTTACCATCTTAACCATTTTTTTTTCTTAAGAATTCTTTTTTTTTTAAAGATTTTATTTTATTTCATTTATTTTTCCCCCCAAAGCCCCAGTAGATAGTTGTATGTCATAGCTGCACATCCTTCTAGTTGCTGTACGTGGGACGTGGCCTCAGCATGGCCGGAGGAGAAGCGGTGCATCAGTGCGCGCCTGGAATCTGAACCCGGGCCGCCAGCGGCAGAGCGCGTGCACTTAACCGCTAAGCCACGGGCCCAGCCCTATTTTTGATTTTTTGCGGAACCTCCATACTGCTTTCCACAGTGGCTGTACCATTTTACACTCCCACCAACAGTGCACAAGGGTTCCAATTTCTCCACACCCTCATCAACACTTGGTATTCTCTGTTTTTTTCACAGTAGCCATCCTAATGCATGTGAAGTGCTATGTCATTGTAGTTTTGATTTGCATTTCCCTAATGATTAGTGATGTGGAGCATGTTTTCATGTGCTTATGGGCCATTTGTATATCTTCTTTGGAGAAATGTCAAGTCCTTTGGCCATTTTTGAATTGAGTTGTTGTTTCGTTGTTGAGTTTTAGGAGTTCTCTATATATTCTGGATGTTAATCTTTTACCAGATATATGACTTGCAAATATTTTCTCCCATTCTGTGCGTTGCCTTTTCACTCTGTGGGTAATGTCTTTTGATGCACAAAATTTTCATGAAGTCCAATTTGTCTGTTTATTCTTAAATGTTCAGTCTTTTTGACCCTGACATTCCACTTCCAGAAATATATCTCCAGAATCACATGTGCACATGCACACACACAGAAAGTCACTGGAGCATTGTTTGGAATTAAAAGAAGATGAAGAAGAAAAATGTCCTTCAATAGGGGAGTGGTTAACTAAAAAGGTAGATTAATACCATAGGAATCTATGTAGACATTAAAAAGATGGAGGTGCGTAGTGGTAAAGAAAGATAAAGCAAAAACAAAAATTAAGCTGCAGAATGTTATGTTTAGTTGTTTAATC